AACTGCATTTTTAAACCACCTTAATTCCATAAACCCTAAAATACAATTCACAATGGAGTTAGAGGCAAACAATACTTTAGCTTTCTAGATGTTTTAGTCATCCGAAATCCTGATAACACTATTGGTCATACTGTGTACAGAAAAAATACCCATACCAACCGATATTTAAATGGTGAATCTCACCATCATCCTTCACAGTTAGCTACCGTGGGAAAATCTTTGTTTCAGAGAGCACGAGGGATCTGTGACAGAAAACATCTGGCCGCCGAGCTTCAGCACGTCGAGCAAGTACTGCAAGACAACAAGCTTCGGGTCCCGCGCCTACGTCACAGTGACCGAGTGAAGCCAGCGACAGTCGAACGTGTGCCTGCTGTACTACCCTATGTCAGAGGAGTCACAGACAAGGTTGGCTACATCTTGAAGCGAGCTTCCATTAAAACGTACTTCAAGCCGCTGAAGAAGATTGGTCAATTTTTACCATCCGTCAAGTGTCATATCCCTCTACAAGATGCAGGAGTGTACAAGCTGGATTGTGAATGTGGTCTCTCGTACATAGGACAAACAAAAAGATCTATTAAAACCCGCGTTAAAGAACATATAGCTGACGTGAAGCACCGACGTATCGGGAAGTCTGCAGTTTGTGAACATGTTCAGGATCGTCCCCGTCATTACATTAGATTTGATAGACCACAAATCCTCGCAAAAGAACACCGATTCCTCCCAAGGATGATTCGCGAGGCTATTGAAATTAAAAAACATCCTAATTTCAATAGAGAAGATGGATGGGTGCTGCCATCTGCTTGGGATCCCATAATTAATAAAATCAAATCCAAACCCAAGTATACCACTGCTAGACTTCAAGATACTGTAAGCTCATTCTGCGTAAATCGAACCAAAAATTAATATTAAAAAACTGAAGGTAGCCGGGCTAACTATGACAGCAGGACGTCAAACAACTCAGTCCCCCGTGACCACGGGTGCTGGAAAGCACCCGAAACGTCGGGAATATAAAAATAAGTTAAAAATAAGTTAATATACGCGATAAAATCCGTAAAATTAGTTTTATTTAAAAATGTGTAGTGTTCGCGTAAATATAAGAAATCATTATAATTTAAAATTCTCATAGTCCGCGATGGGACGGCGATCCACGACCAGAGACAGATTATTCGCAGTATCAACGGCTGTACTTACTTTCTAAGGCACGGGGATGAAACACCGCCAAATTCCTGACTCACCCTTCTTGAAAAACTGTGGCGGGTGGAAGGAAAAGGGGAGATCTCGCGCCGGGCAAGGTGTTCTGCCCGGGGAGCGGCCAACGCTCCGATGGATAGTTCGGAGCTATTCTATATATGCTGCTTTAACTTCGGAACTTTGTTAGCGCGATTTAGGCGTCGATGTGTTTCGCTTGTAGCGCGACGACAGCGCCGCTACAGACCCATTAACTGGTTTTGCCCCCGACCCGGGGTCTAGGCTGCGACCGCATGATTAGCAGTCGCGTCGTGCTCACAACAAGGCATTAAAATACATATCCACAATCACAGAATGAATAATAGTATAGTCCACAGTAGTAGAGACTACAGTCCACACAGTTATCTTAATGGTCGTTGACGAAATCGTCATTTTTGTTAGTTTGTACCCATGGATTATTCTATAGATTATTATGTATGTATATTTAATATTATTCTTTGAGGGAAACGCATAAAAAAATTACAATGCAATGTAAAACATAGCCGCACGGCCGAAAGTCAAACACGTGAAAAATGCGTCATCCGTTTCCGTCCGTGTGAGTGGCTGAGTGGGTGACGTAATAATGTTATTGCCATGAACTAATTTTTACCACATCCATGGAGTTCTCTTTGAGAGTTTCATTATAAAATATCATAAAAAGTTTGTCATGCGGTTGCGCAATAAAGGGAAAAAGCCGATTACAGGATAACTGCCTCTCCATCCAGTTCAGAAAAATGCTAGGAAAATCATATGGCAGTTGATAGTTGACGGTTTGAAATCTTTGAAAGATAAATTAGTAATAAAAGTGACTTCCGATATTGTAATTTCCTATTTTGGAAAAAGTGACTACAAACAAATTTCTAAATATATACCCGTGTCGTAGCGGTATAAGGATATCCACTGCCCGATATCATCCTGTGGGTGTCGTAAAAGGCGATAGAGTGAAACAAATCAGGAGATGGGCAGCAGCGTCTTCGTAATAGCGACTAAAAATAAGAAACTGCGGTTGTCTACCCTCTTGCCAAGTGTGTCAACTATGGTAAATATGCCCCTTATCAGGCAATCTATAGGGGATGCTAATGTTCAGCAGCGAACTTTTATATATATGTATAATAAAGGTTTTATTTCTAAAATTTACCAAGTAACACAAGTATGAGCGGGAATCGAATAAATAGCTGCGAGGAAATGAGGGAAAATAAACCGTGAACGTATTTTACCCATTTTTTTTTGTTTACTGCCGCGGGGAATTTAGAAAATACACATTGACAGCACTAATTTGCTGGTCGGTTCAGCCGAGCCATTTCGCTAGGCATAAGCATCTTACGAGGGCGGCACTGAAAATTTCGGGAATCAAGGAAGTGACACAACATTACTATTTAAAAATGTATTTATTGCTTTTCGAAGTATTCTCCGCGAAATTTAACATATTTTCCCATACGATGGAACCAATCATTGAAGCAACCATTCCATTCGGAAGTTGGGGTCTCCAAAATGGCCGTTTTGTAAGCGTCCACAGCTTCTTCAGGTGATGAAAATCTCTGTCCACATAATTTATTCTATATTTTAGGGAAAGTATAGAAATCATTAGGGCTTAGGTCGGGGTTATACGGCGAATGGTCTAATAATTCTATGTTTTCTTGCTCTAAAAACTCTTTTGTTCTGTGTGCGGTGTGAGAACTCGCATTGTCGTGATGGAGGATGATGCGGCGGTTGCAGTTCTCTTTACGAAGTTCAGAAATGACCTGTGGCAAACAAATGCTAGCATACCATTCTGCATTGACCGTTCTTTGTCCCTCGAGAGGAATAGTCGTAACATGGCCGATTTTGGAGACAAACGTGACCACCATTTTTTTTTTGGCTTTAACTCATTTTCGAACACCCAAACTCGTGACTGGTTTTTTGTTTCGGGTTCGTACGCGTATATCCAGGATTCGTCACCTGATACGATGTTGTATACAGCATTTGAGGATCCTGCGTGGAATCTTTCGCGAGTTCTGACGCACCAAGTAACGCGAGCCGCTTTTTGCTCTTCACAGAGCGAATGCGGTATCCATCGGGAAAACAACTTTTTTACACCTAATTGTTCATGCAAGATTATTTGTATTTGACTCATGCCAATGTCTAAAGTTGCCTGAATTTCGCGGTATGTCATATGTCGATCTTTCTCAATCAGCATACGCACAGCATCAACGTTTTCTTGGGTGACTGCAGTTTTTGGACGACCTTGACGGGGATCATCACTGAGCTTGACACGTCCACGTTGAAATTCAGTAAACCAGCGATAAATAGTGGTTTTGGATGGGGCTTCATCACCAAATGCAGAAATCATCCGGTGAACATACTGTTTTTGTGTTAAACCACTTCGAAAGTCATAATAAATCATCGCTCTTGAATTTTCTCGAGTCAATTCCATTTTCTCACCGACTAAACAAGTTTGACAAAACCTTGTGACAAGACCGAGAATCTTTTTTTAAATAAATAAATGGTATTCGATTTTTAAAACCAAGGAATTTTCAATTAAAAAGATTTTAATATGACAGGAACAGTGGAAATATTCCATTCCCGATACTTTTAGTGCAGCCTATGTATTAGTCACAGTAACTATACTATTTGGTCACAAACTAATAAGAAGTGTATTAGTCTGTGCATTTCGCATTCGTCCGCCTTGAAGTCGAATTCGATTTCGATTCAGCGTTGCCACTTTAGTAATTTTGTCACTAGATTTAGTGAATTTTTGGAGATAGATAGTGATACTCTGAAAAAGAAAATCACTAAAAAAAATTTGATGACTTTTAGTGATATTTATCAAATCTTGAAGAATTTAGAAAGTACATATTAGCAACCCTCTTTACCTGTCGGTAAATTCCCCAGTTTATGTCAAAATAGCACTATCCTTTTCTCACATTACAAAAACGTAATTAGACATCTTTGTTTGGTTATGCTAAGCCTACCTTGGACTTTTTCCGACTAATAATGAGGACCTAATACGTATGTAAAGTTGGTTTCAGTGGGTGCTCAATACTGAAAGGTTGATATGTGAATATTGAAATGTAAGAAGGTCTCCTAATAAAAAACTTAATTGGAATCAGGTTAGATGCCTCTGTCATGACTGAAATCAATAATGGCGTACACGTACCTTATTAAATTCTAGTCAGATGTGTTTGCCACTCATCCACACTGTTTCACATGTGTCAGAGCAAACGTTACCGCAAAATATAGAGTTTCTCATTAGAGAAACTTATAATTATTAGTTCTCACATTCACCCAAGCGCTGTGATCAGTACAAAGATTTTAAGACAGTAAATTATGGCGAGAATACTTTAAAAATATTGCGCTCTTGTGATATTCGTTGGCTGTCCGTTGAAGAAACTGTGACCAGGAGGCCGTCTCGATTTTATATGTTGTGTTTATTGTTTTTATTTCCACAATTAAAATAGTATTTTTATTACATACCATGTGATTTGATTTTAAATAATTTGGTGAATTCTAGGGATCTTTTTAAGTAAAAATATCCCTAAATCTGGTGAAATTTCAGACCATAACTAGTGATAAATTTTTCTGCAAGGTGGCAACATTGTTTCGATTAGCGATTACGATTAGTCGCATAGAGAAAAGTAATACATCGGGAAATTAGTCGGCACAGAGTACTTTTATACTTTTATATATACTGTAATTAGTCGGTTTTGACAGCTTCGAAGTGTGAGGGTTTATCTCTTTTCTGTCTTTGTCTTGTATTTTCATAGTCGGTCTTTTTACATTAAGTGAAAATCAAAATGCCGAAAAAATTAAAAGTGGTTGTAAAATCTTTGTATTCTCATGAAATTCGTAAAGATGTCAGCTTAGATAATTTAAAATCATTAAAACTTGAAGACGCATGGCCTTTTATCAGAGACGAAATAGAGATTGAAATCGGCAGTAGCCAGTTGGTTTGCATCCCGCATATTACCGAAGCAGATTTATATAAAGTGACTTCGCTTTTTGTGCAAAATGAAAAAGAAATGAACGGTAAAATGTTTACACCCCTCGGTCAGCTAAATAAGAATATCAACAAAGAGAAATCGCACCCTGAGTATGTTCAATGGCTTGAAGAGGAAAATTTTCAGGATCCTGACTTTAAGTTTCCACATGAGAGCGTAAAGGTATGTCTGACAAAAAATTGCTGATATTAACCTTTTTGCACATATACCAATCACCTTGACCTAACTGAAAGTTAACGTTAGAATGAAAGTGTTTCATCCTCATATTTTTTAAATCTTTTTCAACAAAATCAGCCACGATAAAATAATGAATCATCTGTTTTGGCATATGTCTGAATGTGCTATGATTAATAAATAGTCACAGCTTTTTCAATCATGAAATGATGTTGACGTAATATTATCTAAAAAAGTCCCGCTGGGTTTCTTGCTGGTTCTTCCCAGGACAGAGGTATTTTCCGAACCAGTGGTAAATAAAAAAATGACAATAAGTCTTATGTAATAATCAATATTGAATAATAAATCATTCTTTTCTATTCTAAAATTTATTTACTTATGTATATATTCATCAATATTTTCAGAATATATAAATTGATTTCTCAATTAGATAAAAGTTAGATGGATGTGTACAGTTTATTTTGTATATGTCTGATTGTGAGGGGCAGTAATAGCTCAGGTACTAAGTGCTCACTGTAAACTTCACAGTACTCAAGCCACTTGGATTTGATCCGGTGAATTGCAATTTTAAGAGCTGATTTACTTGTTGGTGAACATAAATATGGCTCAGGACCATGCTTTGTGACATTCCTTGGTGGAGGCCTATGTTCAGCAGTGGACTTGTGAAGGGCTGTAATGATGATGATGATGAATGTAAATATTGTGACAAAACATATCTGAGGAGTAAAATATTTTGAGGACATGTGGAGTCTACCAACACTTACTGAAGCAGCATTATGGTCTAATTTGTCAATAATCCTGTCAGAAATGAGAGGTCTTACCCCACAATGGTGGTATGTAGATAGGCTGTAACATCTACTTTTATTTATTAATTTTTTAAATTTATTTTCAGATAACATTGCAAGATGAATCTATCAAAAATAAAGTACGAGTTATTATGGTTAATTTTACAAGAAATATTATTCCAAAAGACAAAGATTTAGTAAACAACATATATTTGGATATTGATAATAATAAAGGTCTGTAGTTTTTTAAGTTATTTATCTTGTATTTTTGCAATTTTACTTAATAATATAAGGAATGTATAATGCCAACAATCAATTAAAGCTAGTAGAGAGAGGATGGTAAGAAGAACCTGGAGAATGTAGGGTTTGGTTGAAAAAAAAATAAGTATAGTGACTATCTCAAAAAATTTCTTTGTTTTTAATTAAGAATTTGTATTTTCATGTATGGAGGTCTAAGAGAATCCATATCCTATTAAGTTTACATAGTAATCATTCTAGATAACAAATGTTTATGAAGATGATCTTTTTTTACCAGGAGTTTAGTGATTCTAGTAACAGACATTCCATACCTTTAATAATAAAAGGTTAATCATGTAATCATCAATTTTGGTCTTTTCTTTTAGATCTCAAGGGGAAAAAATCAGTATACATGATTACAAATGTGCTGTTAGCGAAAACCATAGAGTTCAGGGTAACCAGAGGGACATCATCAAGAATCTTCCATTTAGGGAATGCATCACCACTAGTATTTGGTTTGGAAGAGTTCCTTATTGGCGATGATGGAAAACTTATTGCTAAGGTAAGATTTGATTGTATTTTTTTTTGTTTAATTTAATAACGTCTTATATGCTAAATTTAAAGGGACCCATTTATAATTATGGTAATATAATTTACATATAAGAGTTATATTCAATGGTGTGTACCTTTTATACATATCACATTTTGTAAATTTTGTCTTAAATAGTCATGCGATTGCAACTTAGAGAATCCATCATAGACATGAGTAACTCAGCGAAATTCCTTGCGTTAAATCAAAATTGCGCCATGGCTGAGCAAATTTTAAACACTGTCAACTAGGCAATCGTCATAATAAAAGTGTTTAGCCAGTAAGTAAAATAAAATGTAGAAAAGAAAGATTACATATATGTATATTACTATGTACCACTCCTTTTTCATATGACAGAGTTGCAATTTATAAAAAAATAATATAAAATAACATTTACACAGCTTTCGAATTTCCATGTCCAGCGCTGTGCACTAACACATTTTGAAGAAGTGAGTTAGTGCAATTGCATGGCGCATCATGCAGTGTTACCCATGTCTAATCCATCATCATATTTTATCCTGTTGGTTTCGCAAGAGGTTACTCTCAGTAACACTAGAAAAATCTCATAGTTTCTGATGGATGGCCGTAAAACCATCTCGTAAGGTAACGAGACTAGTGATAGGGAGGAATGTCAAATATATGAGACGTCTAGTATTGCAATAACTATTCAACCTACCATGAGTGGCGCTTCAGGCAAATCCTCCCAAAGCCAGAGGTGCATGTTTAGATTTGGAGATTTGTAGGCTGATAAAGATTTCTTAATTAAGAAGGTACAAATCTTATCTATATAAATAAAATGGTAGATGTTTGAAGTTGTGCGCTCATCACAGAAAAACTACTGGATAGGTTTCAATTAGGTTTTCTAAGTTTTCTTATCCTCATTTAATATAAAGTTATTAAAGTTTTAAAAAACAACAATTTTCTTAAGCACTATGTGTTCAGTGATGTGTGTTTTCCCACTGTGGAGAAGTGGGGAGTCGTATTTATATTTTTATTATCAATATATATCAAAAACTTTGTTAATCAGCTTTGTATTAGCTAGTGATTTTAATAAAATAAAAGATATCCAAAAATTTGGTGCAACTGAATACTTTTACTAGGTGGTAGGAGTCTTCTTATCTTTGGGAGTCTGGGTCTGGAAGTCTGGGTACCACACTGATATCTATTTCTGTTTTGAAAGTGGACAGTAAATTCATTTGTTACTTTAATATAATAAAAAAAAAAAAACAATAACTTATATCTCATCACTGTCTATGGCTATTCAAAATGATGATGTCATATTTTACTGTTACCTTGGCATTATTATTCTTGGATTCCAATAGTGCATGTTGGTTAATGGTAGAAGTTTTATTTGGCTTGAGTCCATCACTGAATCGCTGAATGTATTGAATAGAAATTTATATCTTATATTACATACTTATGAAACAAATATTAGGTTTCTTATTCATTCCTTTCATTGCAGTTACCTAGATGAATAAATTTTGTTTAAATGTTACTATAAGCTAGAAAGAATTAGATTTAAAAAAAATAACTAAACTAAAAAGAACAAAAATTAATGAAAACCTATAAAGGGTTATTTTTCAAAGAGTAGGCAAACTTAAGTTTAAATATATAAATAATGACTTCCGAAAATACGAGTAAATAAAGGCTTGTACTTTTATTTGAAATTATCCCAAATTGAATGTGATATGGGCGACAACTACGCGTACGCGCGCTCCTCTGTGTGTGATTCAATTCACAACGTTTTTGCCAACCGATCAACCTTTACGAATGTGTGCGTGCTTAGTAAAATAGTAAGCGTTAGATATTTATGAATGACAATTAGTTAAAAAATGCATTACCACGCATTTTGAATTTAAAAGATAAAAAAGGACAAGAAATTTATTTTTAATTAATTTTCGTAGTGGTGTTAAGCGCGACTGCTGATCATGTGGTCACAAGTTCGAATCCTCGGTTCGGGCTAAAATCAGTTATTGGGGTTTTCTATTAAGGAATTCTCACTATAAGCCCGGAGTCAAGAGTAGGCGGTGTTTTACCCCCGTGTCTCGGAAAGTACGTAAAGCCGCTGGTCCTGCGCCGGATTTTTTTTTTGCTATGATAGGGTGACAAACAAGCACACAGTCCACCTGATGGTAAGTGGCTGCTGTGGCCCATAGACATTTACATTTATCCTCGTTTGCGAATCAAAATGCAGATGCGTTGTCACTCGTGAGGACTAAGATGGAATGCCTCGTTTCCAGTAAAAAGGGTCTCCGGTTCTCTACACTTACCATACGAAACACAGCAGTGTTTTACGCTGGTATTCTGTGAAAGCGTGGTCCTTCCCCGGTCGAGCCGACCCATTCGTGCTACAACTATACTTCTAATACAACTGCAGCACGGCTCTACCACGGATTGCCGACTCATCGAACTATGTGCTTGCGGACACACTTGTACACTATGCTCCTTTCCTGCGCAGGTGCCTAGTTTTGTTGAGATGGTCCCCCGTTACCGAAGTTTGGTCTGGAGGACATTATTATTATTATTTCGTCACAATATCTCATTAACCATATTTAAAATTTAAAAAAAATGCATAATCTCATTTATTGTACAAATAAAAGAACATGCTATCGGTATGTGAAGCCTTATATTGTATTACATAACATACGTTCAATATTTTTTTTTTTTTTTTTTTTTTTTATAGGAGAGGGGGCAAACGAGCATGCGGCTCACCTGATGGTAAGTGACTACCGCCGCCCATGAACAACCGCAACACCAGGGGAATAATAAATAATAATAATAATAATCATTATTACTTATTACGTTCAATAAATCAAATACCTTGATCCATTTACACAGTACCGGTAGCAGTGCAGTCTGTTTATAGTATGTTATTTAATATTATCTAAAGAAAATTTATTATACGGATTTTATCACGTTTAATTTTTATTAGTTAACTGCCCGCGACTTCGTTCGCATAGAATAAGTTTTAGTAATTTATTATTATATTTTCCTATTCAAATCGGATTTTGATTACAATTTCATGGTTTCTTTTTTGTGCGCGGTACTCTATCTTTTTTTTTTTTTTCTAAAACAAAAGCAGCCTTAGTTACTATCTGACAGTGAAAGTCTCGTCAAAATCGATCCAGCCGTTTTGGATATTAGTTAGAACAAACACAGACAAAAATGAAAAAATGTTTTTTTTTTTTGTTATAAGTATCGTACCAACCGCTTATTATGAAGTAAGTAATACACAGCGAAGTTTGGTTTTCATATAAAATTCTTTATAACAAAGTCGGATATAATGACTTCGCTTATTGTGACCCATTTTTAATAAATTGTGTCCGGTTAGCCGGTTACAGTGACCGACATGATTCCTAACAACTTTGGCAGTGTTCGTGAGTCACGTGATACCGCGTGCGCGATATGTAGGCGCGTGCATGGCTTTTTTTGTTTTGAATTTTGATTTGTGAAAAAAATGACATCTCAACGTATATATTGTAATAACGTAAAAATGATAAAATACGTTACGTACTTATTACGTACAATTTTTATTTTGATTTATCTCCATTTTGTTTCTCTCTATTAAAAAAATACAAACAGTAGCTTGTTTATTTTTTACAAAATGCTTTTTATGACGTCGGCTTAGTATGACGTGTTTGTTATTTCCCTTCGATGTCATTATAAACGGATTCCGCTGTACTTTCACATGCAATAAGTTAAAAGCTGTTATTTTGACATTACAAACAGATACATCAATTTTATTTATTTGTATAGAATAGATTATTTTTTTAAAAGTGTGATTATCTTAAATCTATATAGCAATGGATCAATAGATTTTACCCAGACCATCCCGGGGCTTGTCGCTTGTTGTTAATAAAATTAATCCAAAGCAAATCCAAAGTAAAACTTTTTTATCTTTGTATTTGATCTATTATCTATAGATACATATAAATAAAATTAAAGTGTCTAAAGTACTATTGTGAACTAAGGGGGTTATCAGAGCTTGATAAAAGTATTTCATTTATCTACATTGAAAATATATTATTTTATAATTAATTTGAGGGAGATTAATAAATAAAGTATAATTTTTTTAATTAACTTAATGGGGGTTAATGTATATTTAATAGAAAAAATAAAAAAATGGAATTATATTGTAAAAGAAAAACATGAAAAAACATTTTCAAAATTTTGTCTTTTGTCTATCCGGGCTAATCTTTGGAATGGTTGAAACGATTGTAATGAAACTTCAAGAACAGACAGAGAGCAATGCCACGAGTGGTCTAGGCTATATTTTATCCGAAAAACTTAAAAAAAGTTGTTAACATAAAATGTCCTTGATTATCTTAAACTAATTAACTTCTTAGCGAGTCGCTAGTTAACTAATAAAATTATACGTCCGTCGAAATACGTATCAAACAAGGAACAAAACATTGTGTTTTGTACTGTCGCATTAGTATTATTTTCATATAATGTTGCCTGTGAAACTTCGGGGACAAAGATTAATCTAACAACGTACGCAGCCATGAAAACAATAATGGCCGACACCACACGGTCAGTTAAACTGATCAGTTGAACTGACGTATACATTCAAAAACTGACCGTCACTGTGAAATCTTTAGTTAGTTTTGACTTACGTCCGTTTTAACTGATCAGTTTAACAATTTTTCAGTAATGTTTGTCGAGCATTACTCTCCTGATATGTAAAAGGTGTAATTTACGAATTAAAATTTATGAATTAAACTTAAAATTTAACGCATTATATCTCGTTTAATTAAATTAATTAATAAAAAAACGCGATAAAATTCGTAAAAGAAAGTATAGAAAGCGCAAGGTATGTTCTACTATCGCCTAAAAATTGATTTATTTTTATGATGGAATTGCATAATAGATAATATAATATTTCTCTTTAAAATGTTTTGTTGCACTTGCATGAGTTGCGTAACATAAATATGATACATATGCATATAATCACGCCTCTTTCCCGTAGGGGT